TGGACCACCTCGGAAACACTTCTGCTTCTGCACAAGCGGCTCGCAACGGCCCGCGTGGCCCGCAGGAAGGCGAAGCGATGGAAGCCATGAGGACAGTGCAGAGCCAGACCTTCGAGGCTGAGGGGACACCTGGCAAGCCATGGCAAGCCCAGCAGGCTTTTTCTAGAAGCCCAGCAGCCCAGCAGCAGTGCTTCGCAATCTGTTTTTCAACGTGCAAAGCCGACTGAGGCCATGGCTCCTAGCTCCGGAAAGTGGTATCGGCACTGAAAGGACCTACGAGTGGGCTCTGAGAACCCAAACAAGCGAGCCCAAGCTGCAAACCTGGTTCTGGATGCTGCCACTTGCTTTCCTGAAGCGCAGTATCCCAATTCCATCAATGCCCATCCAGCTTGCTCATCCACCTTGCCCAGATTTGCCCAGTCTATGCACCCCGCAGGCTGCCCGTCGTGCTTGGCCGATAGATGTAACCAGGCCTTCAGCTGCTCCGAACTAACAATGTCGTGCCAAGCCCAATCACAACATGTAGTGAGTGAGTGGTGTCATAGCCATGTTTGGGCCGAGCCCCCTGTGTGCCCCACATTGGCTTGAGTCCACCGGGCCTCAAACAAAGCAGTGCCTGGATATGCCTGGTAGTGCGCAAGAACGCCCCCATGGCACACAGACCACAGCACCGAGCATGGCACGCGCTTGTGGCTCCCTGCCACGCATGTTCTGCGTAGCCTTTGGGGACTGCCTGCCTCGATTGCCAGACGTTGCGGAGTGGATTTCGGCCTTCGGCCTCCGGCTGAGTGTCCAGCAAGGCGGCATTCGCCGTGCTGGGCCGTATCTCATAGGGGATACTTAAGGTCCTGGGCGCAGAGATGCTTCGCTGCTTCACCAAATCTGAAGAAAGCTCGAGAATACTTTCTCCAAGGCCCGGGCTGACTGACCGCCTCATTAGGGTTTGCCATGTTGTTTTGCACCTCAAATGGAAACCATGGAGTGTAACGTGGAAGGTGGCAAGCCGTGCGGCTTCACAAGACCATGACAGTCTTGGGCTGAGCTGCCGTAGCTTCTGAAGCTTTCGCCTTATCTCAGCAAACTGCCTGCACAAAGAGTGAGGAGACTTAGCCAGGCGCTGCATGCGGGAGCACCTTCCTGTCTATTTGAAGCTCTTGGACTTGGACCCACCTCAGCATGCAAGGCAATCACAAGTAAAATGGACATGAAGGGATCAGCGCTGCTTAAAGGACCAATCTCAAGCCTGAGAAGTCCACACCCATGTTGTGATAAGTCGATATGGCGGGCTCTGGTCCTTGGGTTGCATGCTACCTCTCGACACAAGCCCCTGGATGCGTCAAGAAGCCCACCTTGTCCTTTTCGTCCACTTGGCGGCGCGCAATGCACGCGTGTAGCGCGAGGGCGTGGTTGTCATCGTAAGGCACTCGCTGGACCAGAATGTTGCGCGAGGTCTGCACGCGAAGAGGCTGTAAAACCATGCAAGGCCGAGCCTATTTGCAACAGTGCTCCACCGAGGGCTTTGCGAAGAGATTGGCATCCAGTCCTTCGACCTTCTCCAACACAAGTTCCGGGCATCTTGCAATTGGGATGAACTGGACCAAGGGAAGCACCCAGGCACACTTCTTGCAGACCTGCGGAGAAACCCACACGATGCAATGAAGCTTCCTCTGCATCTTGGAGCTGGACCTCCACTCCCTGGTGGTCTGTTTCTGATGGCCAGAGTCTCAAGACCTCCATATCGACTTGACTGCAATTTCTCGTCCTTCATGCTCTTTACCACAGCGCCTCCCGGATGTATATGTCCTGGAGGCAGATAATCAGACTTACTTGTGCAGCCACCAAGCAGCCACTACACAGCCTGGGAAAACTTAGAGAAAAACCTACTCAGCCTACTCTGATTCCATGATCTAATGAACAGTGAGCATATTGCCCAGAGGAACGAGGCAACAGATGACGGATGGTGCGGTACCACGATCAAAGTCAACGCTTCTCGATCATGACTGCTGTTTTGCAGCTTTGCAGTGCGACCTGTCTTCTTGCAGACAAGACTTGGATTTGACCTCCTCGACGTGCATGTTCCCAGATGTCAAAGCACTCAGTGAATCACTTTGTTGCAGAGGAAAAAATGCTCTTTCGGTAGCTCTGCCCATTTGCTTTGGAATTTATGCTCCGGTTTCTCACCTTTGGCTGCCCTTTGATCCTGCATCGCGACCCTTGAGCGCTCGCTCCTTTCAGAACGGTCCGTTGTCCACACCCTAATACAGAAATGAAGTTTTGGAGCCACCGGGAAAATCAATTCAGACACACTTTCACTGGGTCTCAACTCGTAGGCCCTAGACTCAGGCCATGGCGCAAACAATACGCCACGCCGGCCCACGCAGTCAGGCGTTCTGTAGTAAAAAAAATCTGAAGTTCTGATCAGTAACATAGCGGGGCCAGCCTCTTGAAACTGAAAGCTTCTGGTCTGAGCCAGGGCTTGGGCGAGGCGATATCATCGGCAGCGCTTCAGGCTTAGGAATTGCAATGTTAGTGTCGGGTGGCTGGATTGATTCAAAAGCTGGAATGTCATGCCTGGCCAGGAATGGAGGAATACGGACAAGAATATATCGGAGGAAAAAAGCTCTCCATTCAAAGCTTGATTTCTGACTAAACTTGGATGAAAAAATGCAGGACAGAATTTCTGCATGTTCCCCTCATTGCGTCTTCCACAATGTGAGACGTCAACAGACCTGCATCCTCTGACACTCTGAGCACATGTCCCCACACAAATCATGACTGCTTGCGCATGGCCAATAAAGAGGAAGTACATCCGGATATGGGAGTAAAACGCGGGATAAGTTCAAGGCAGGTTGGGTTGCCTGGTGAACGTGGCAGACTAAGGCCATTATGACACGCAGCCGATTGCTCTGCGCAGCTGCAAGCCCAAACCCTACGATCCAGCATGTAACAAAAGCTCACACCGGAACATGACCTAAATGCGCACCAGTAAACATCCTGAGCTTTTGGAACATACCGAGATCGGGATCTGGAAGTCTTTAGGCTCGAGCCAGGGGAAAGTATGTGATTCCGCAAAACGCTGTACACAAGAGATGAAATTCGTCTCTGCCTCGCGTATTCGTTTCTCGTGCTCTGTTTTCAAGAGCTTTCGTCTTGCAGTAAAGGCACGGTCATAAACCGATCGCCAGCCCTGTTGCTTAGAAAGAAGCTGTAGCATCACCTTCCGGGCCGATGCCTTTGATTTGGTCATTGCATCGGCAATCATCTCAGTGCCTGCCACCTAGCGGAGGTGTGTCCCCACTGCTGTCGCCTGTTTGACTGCTAGAGTCGAGAGTCAATTCATAGCCGGCACGGCTACGTTGAAGGCCATGCAACGCGCTGGTATTGCGCACCATTGCATCGAACACTCCTCGCGAATCCATCAGAAGAGCTGCGCTGGTGAGCTCTTTCACCATCTGCTCCTGACGACCACGCACCGGTGTGTGCCCGTGCACCTCCATCCAGACAGATCGTACGAACTAGTTCACGTCCTCGCCGATCGTGATAGCCTGAACCTCAGAGCCGTTGGAACCCAACACTTCACTAGGCGCCCGCCATGTCACAAGATTCATTGGAACAAGTTCCCCGTCCAGAATCTCTTTGGGAGCAAGTGCTGTGATGGAGCCACAGGTACTTCCTTTGTTGCAACCATTGTTTTGAGCAGCATCTGCCCATGTCACGGCCACGAAGTCTTGCCAGCCACGCTTAAGGTGGAACACCAGGAACTGGTCCGCCACGCGCTTGGCCTCGCGAACCGTGAAAGAAGGTATCTGCGATAAAAGGAGGCCCACCTTAGCCAGGACTCATTTGATTTGCCCGCCATGCCAGGGCGCTGATCGCACGACGCATAGCACTGACCTCTTCGGGAGAGGCCTTGGACTTGACCTGGGATGCTTTCTGGGGTGACAAGGGAATCTCCTGCATCCACTTCTCAGTGTAGGAGCGCTGGTCCATGAAAACGTGCCGTCAGCCTTCTGCACGATATTAGCACCAGCGAACTCAAACTCCTCAGTGGCCCATTTTCCCCATTCAAAAAGCATCCATCAGGCATTGTTTGGCGGCCATAAACACTGGACTCTTCCTGTCACCGGCAATCAGAAAGTCACCCACGTGACAACCTGCGACCCCAACTAACCGCGGGTTTTCGTCCACGAGAATGTACACGCCTGTCAAAGTGAAGTTGGCGCCATCCTGATCTGACCAATTTTTCGGAGACCATTTCAAACCAAGCTCTGGGCGCATGGCACAGACCATAGAAAGCCCTTCGGAGCTTGAGGGTTGTGAAGTCATCACATCCATCGCCGCCAAACGCAGCACCGAGTTCCACCAGCGCACACACGCAAAGAGGTCTTCGTCCTCCAAGTCCTTAATGGCCTGCAAGAAGGCACTGGCCACATCAGCGCATAACGCGTTTCACATCCACCTTCTCATGAGTGGCTAGAGCACGAACAGCAGCATTGCGAATCACGTTCGACATTTCCTTAGCCTGGGCACCATCAAAGTTCTTCTTCTCGTCTTTACCCCCTTACCTTTCTCCATCAGCTTCTTGGAGAGGCAGATCTCAGACTCTCGCAGCTTCCCGATGAGCTTCTTCCAGACACCAGGCCCATCCGCGTCGGGAATCAACTCGGAGTCCTCGGAGCTTGCCTCGTCAGTGTCCTCAGGAGCCTCCACAGGAATTGGAACCTCAGCACGTTTGACGAACTTGTTCCCGCCCACATCCTCACGCGGTAGCCGCTGACCGCCGGGCAGAGAACGGCCTGGTACAGGACTGCGGCTTCGGGTATCAGGAGGATTACTTGGCGGAAATCCTCGCGGTGTTCCGGGAACTGGAGTTCCAGGACCAGGGACGGGCACTAGATTTTCAGGCACCTCGACCTCGAGCTGCGGCGTCTCTGGCTCATCTACTCAAGGCTCCAGAGAGTCAGAAGGTTTGCTGGTGGTTCCTGACGACTTCTACGCTGTTGGGAGGATTCGAGTCGTAGATGAGGAAGGTCGATCGCGGAAAGAGTCAGAAGGTTTTGCTGTTGGTTCTTGGGGACTTCTTCAGCTTCATCGAGGAAGGGTGACCTTTGCCCAGCCTGAACTTTGCCTCACCGGTCCAGCGACCCAGGAGGCATCTTCCAACACTGGCATCTCAAAAGTCGTCTTTGATGACAGTCTGGCGCCCCTCATTTCCGCTCTTCACCAGGACTTCTCGTTCTCGTTCCCCGGTGAGCTCTTTCTCCTCGATGGGAAGCTTCAACCTTGAAGGAACCAGAAGAGCGAGTTGAGGCTTGACATGGACTCGTACCAGCCAATCTTCTCGGAAATCCCAAAAGTCATCACCCTCGACGTGGTCGAGGCGCCACCCACCCGAACATTAGCTTGAGCGGTATCTTCAAAAGCCTCTTGCGGGGGCTGTTGGTCGGAGATATCCTGATACTGCTTTCCACGAAAACCCTGCGACAGGGTCTCGACCGTAACTGGAAAGCGATACACAGCAGCTCCTTTGCTTAGACTAATATTCTACGCTGAATTTACGCCAACCTTACGCGAAACTTACACTCAGACACGCGGACTCACCAGATTTTTCTGAAGTTCGCACGGTAGCTTCGTGTGATCTTCTTGGTGATTCTGCTGGCTTTCACCTTGGACACTCAAGGCGGACGATGTTTTTGGACGATGATGGTAACTGCCGTGGACCTCAACTGGACCTTCTGATTGATGCTTGGGAATTAGCAATGCTGCCGAGAAGCAGTTCTCATCCTGTCATGTCACATGGTGGATTTCTTTTGTTGATCAATGCTACCTAGACGCGGGTCAAACGCTGTTATTTCATTCTTACTGCTGCCAGAACAGATGAGTTGATTGCCGCGGCGCCAGTTGCAATTTTTAGGCTGTAAATTTCAGTTGCAATGTTCAACGGTGCTACCTGGTTCGCATCTTCGGGTTTTCTCATGGTCTGGCTTTGCTTGTTGAAGACAATGTTGGCTGAACACGCGTGTCACACAATAGGCTTTGTCAGCTGCTGTTTCTACACTCATGTCCACCTTTTTTGTTGCCTTGGCCTATGCTCAGATTCGCTAGGTGGCCTGAGAAGTGTGGTTTTGGTCGCGCCCAACAATTTCATGATGTGTGAAGAATACGAAAAATACTTGTAGTCTCACAGGTGTGTCAATCCTGCGAGCTTCTAGGGGCTTCTTCTGCCATGGCTGCAGCGATGGGCCAAGTTCTTCCTGATTTGAAAGAGGTTGGTGAGCCTGCGGAAGTTGTTCAAGAGGACGCAATGAAGACGCCTGCAGCATCCACGACCAAGGCAGAAGCAAAGGCCAAGAGGAAGGGCTCAAGATTGAGAAAAGTCCCAACGAGTAGCAAGTTCCATGCAATGGCAAATCAGAATCCTTACGTGGCTTGTAGCTACTGTGACGGCTGGCTTTGGGCGTCCCGGCTTGGAAGGGCTCATTATTGCAAATGCGGCAAGACATGGGAATCCAAACTTGCAGAGCAGGGATTGGCTTACGCGCCAAAGTACAGAGCTGAGGCAGCCTATGGTGAGGTGTGGGGGTCATATGGGAGCCAAGAATGGCAAGACACACCTCGGTGGGGATGGGCTCCACAAGGACATTCAGGGCAAAACAGCAAACCCTTACCAGTTCCGCCCAAGCCGCCGGCAGCGCAAGCATTGGCAGCTTTGGCAGGAGAGTCTCAAGATGTCCTCATGCAAAGTGACAACCACTCAGTTGACCAGTGGAAGCAGCTGGCGGCGGCCCTTCTCAGACAGCACT